AATCCCCCAATCCCGCAATGCCCCCCATCCCCCCATCCCCCCATCCCCCCATCCCCCCCATCCCGCCATCCCCCCATCCCCCCATCCCCCCATCCCCCAATCCCGCACCCCCCCCCCATACCCCAATCCCGCATTCCCCCAATCCCTGCCAAACCCCAATCTCTTTTTACCGATCCGCAAGTGCCTCAATCCCCTTGCCCACTTTAAAGGCCACTGCCTTATGGCTGCATGCCTTTGCCAGCACCAGCTGCAGGGCAGCCTGCCGCCGTGCAGCAGCTGCTGCTGCTGCTGCTGCATCGACAGCATCTTTATTTGCACCTCGTGCTGATGATGCAGCCGCCGGGGTCCCCTGATATAGCAGCAGCCGTGTTGAACGGCGGACGACGGCTTGCTGGGGTTGTTGTTCATGATTCATAACATTGATGGGCGCCTGCCCACTTTTCCTTTTCCTTGTTGCGATGATGGCTGGCGCTGGCGCTGGCGCTGGCGCTGGCGCTGGCGCTGGCGCTGGCGCTGGCGCTGGCGCTGGCGCTGGCGCTGGCGCTGGCGTGCGTCCTCCTCCCCCGGAGACGTTTGCTTCTTGTTCTAATATGTCGTGCAATTCGGCCTCCATTGTCTCTTCCATAACCTTCTGCCTGCGCTGCCACACCTCCTCGTCTTTTGAGTCGTCCGCCGTCTTGTCCTCCTCTTCATTCGTCATGCCTGTCGCCATCATCATCCTCGTCGTCGTCCTCATCCTCGTCATCAGCCGCCCTTGATGTTGATGATGACTTTGCTCGTCAGCTTGATCATCATCATCCTCCTCATCATCCTCCGACCAAGAAAGCATGAGGTTATCCACGCAGTTGTTCGCCAGGTCTTTGTCCCTGTGCACAACTCGTGCACCTGTGTCCTTCCGCGGTTGTCCCCCCCCCAAACCCTTCTTGTTCCCTCCTCCGTTTGCGCCTCCTCCTCCTCGTGCTCCTCGTCGCCTCCCGCCCCGAACCTGAGTCCCCTCTGCCGTCATCTTGAGA